TCATGTCTGTTAACCTCTTTCTCTACTACAATGCCATGGGCTTTCTTTATGCAGTTGGCAGGAAGAACCCCTTGGGCAGTGGTTACATTTAGCCAAGGAGGCTAGATGGTAACATTTTTTATTTTTAGCCATTATCTCTTAAGCTTCTCCTTTTGGCAGAACCTTCTACAAAGCTTGGTAAGAGTCACTAAGTAAACTTTGATTTGCTTAAAAACCACATATATTCTTTGTCTCAGGTGAGCAGCAACTACTTGGGCTGGTGGTGCAGAGGTAAAAGAACTTACCAAGATAGTTGTGGGTAAAGAAAGGCAGATAGATTTATTTATTTATTTATTTTTATTTTTATTTTTTTTTGAGATGGAGTCTCGCTCTGTCGCCCAGGCTGGAGTGCAGTGGCCGGATCTCAGCTCACTGCAAGCTCCACCTCCCGGGTTCATGCCATTCTCCTGCCTCAGGCTCCCGAATAGCTGGGACTACAGGCACCCGCCACCTCGCCCGGCTAATTTTTTGTATTTTTTAGTAGAGACGGGGTTTCACCGTGTTAGCCAGGATGGTCTCGATCTCCTGACCTCGTGATCCGCCCATCTCAGCCTCCCAAAGTGCTGGGATTACAGGCTTGAGCCACCGCGCCCGGCGAAAGGCAGATTTATTAAAGACAGTATGAAAGTGTGTTATCAGGGAGCGACAGGCAGAATCAGCAGAAGAGGAGCTGACTGCAAGGAAACAAAGGCTAGCTGGAGATTTTATAGGATGGTTCCTGGGCTGATGGATAACGCCAAGGCAGCAGGGAGCTAACCTGCATTCTTCTGTCACTCAAGGTGTTTGATGATAAATGTTTGCGTGCGTTTGATGATAAGCAGGGAGTTTGTGAATTATGTTCATGATTTGCTCCGGAGGGCTGTATGTCCTGGGCCATAAAGAAAAGCAAGCCTATAGCTTATCTGCTTCCTTTTTTGTTTATATATCCTGGACCATGAAGAAAATGCAGATCTATAGCTTATTTGCTTTATCTCTTTGCTTTCCGCTGGTCCCACCAGCCTGACTCCTTTTCCCTAAGTAGGAATCCACATTCTTCCTAATGGGTAATCAGCAGACATATGTCTACCTAGCACACCTAAGTTTAACATAATTATCTAAATGCAAAATCTTGAGGAATAAAGACAAAAAACCCTCTACCAGGCACAGTGGCTCATGCCTGTAATCCCAAGTGACATAGGAGTTAAAAAGAAATTATTTAGGCAGATAGTGAGGGTAAGGAAATCCTCGGTACGGTTTTCCTTTTAATGAAAAGCAGCCCCTGAGTCATTTCTAACAAAGAGCAGCCTGAAAAATCAAGCCGCAGACATAGATAAGCAAGCTGGAAGCTTGCACGGGTGAATGCCGGCAGCTGTGCCAATAGGAAAAAGGTACCTGGGGGCCAGGCATGTCCAACATGGCAGCTCCATCTTCCCTTTTGTCAACCAAAAGGGAAGTGTACAGTAAGGAACAGACAGCATGGCCCTGGCCAGGCAGGGACCCCATCTGCATAATAAAAGATTAGGGTGGGACAGCCAGCTTCTGATTGGCACACCTGGTCCAACCAATCTTTGAGGCCTATGTATATCAGACACCACCTCCTGAAGCCAGTCTACAAAACCCCGTGCCCCATGGAAGTCCTACCTGGGAGCCCTTCTCTCTCTGCAGGAGCTAGAGCTGTTCTCTTTTCTCTTTCGCCTATTAAACCTCTGCTCTTAAACTCACTTCTTGTGTGTCCGCGTCTTCGATTCCCTTGGCGTGAGACAACGAACCTCAGGTATTTACCCTAGACAACGACGCAGCATCATCAGCATTTTGGGAGGCTGAGGCAAGATGATCACTTGAGCTCAGGAATTCAAGATCAGCCTGGGCAATACAGTGAGACCCCCCATCTCTTAAAAAAAAAAGAAAAGAAAAGAAAAATTAGCTGGTGTAGTGGCACGCACCTGTGTTCTCAGCTACTTGGGAGGCTGAGGTAGGAGGATTGCTTAAGCCCAGGAGGTTGAGGCTGCAGTAAGCTGTATTTGTGCCACTGTGGCAAGCCAGATCTCACAAAAGCTGAACAGGCAGGCCTCCATAACAACTGTTCCAGCATTGACTAAATGGTTAGGTTAAATATTAAAGGCTGAGAGAGTCAGTGCCCTAACACAAAGGCTGCTGATTTGAAGCATGACAAGGTAATGAAGGAATGGTCACACTCCTCATCCCAGGATCCATTTAGGATTAAACAAGTTTTACTGAGGGTCTAAAGGCACTCCCCAGACCTCCATAACTTAGTAGGAGACAAGGTAAGGGTAATCACCTTTGGCACTTGGACCCAACTAGAGTAAGTAAAATTACTGAGGCTCTGGAGGAAGGTTCCCAAGACTCAGACCTTAGTTATAGATGAGAAGAAATTAATCACTTATATCTTTAGATGAATGCACACTTACGTGTAGACATATAGCTTAGAAGGTGGATAAGCACTGGAAAACTGTGTAATTTTGAGTTGTCTGGCAATATTTTTCTGGCCCTCTCCCTGTACCTGGTTACAGAAATAAAACTCTCTTCTTTTACATCAACATCTTGTTACTGGGCTGCGAGAAAAAGCAGCCTGGTCCTCGGTTCAGTCCAGGAACACCACTGCATACCAGCTTGGGTGACAGAATGAGACCTTGTCTCTTAAAAAAAGTCCTCAGAGGCCGGGCCGGTGGCTCACGCCTATAATCCCAGCACTTTGGGAGGCCGAGGCGGGCGGATCACGAGGTCAGGAGATCGAGACCATCCTGGCCAAGATGGTGAAACCCCGTCTCTACTAAAAATACAAAAAGTTAGCTGGACGTGGTGGCGAACACCTGTAGTCCCAGCTACTTGGGAGGCTGAGGCAGGAGAATGGCGTGAACCCAGGAGGCAGAGCTTGCAGTGAGCCGAGATCACGCCACTGCACTCTGGCCTGGGTGACAAAGCGTGACTCCGTCTCAAAAAAAAAAAAAGGTCCTCAGAGAGAGAAGGTCACACGTATTTTATCCTTAGTTGTCACAAGATGCAATACATGTATTTTTCTCCTGGATTAGTACTGGAGAAAAGCCTTTTATCCTTTTTCTTTCTTGGCTATGGATGTCCAGTTGCTGCAGCACTGTTTGTTGAAAAGGTTATACTTCCTCCATGGAAATTTATTATTATTATAGTGCACAGATTTTAGGTCAGAAAAATTGGGGGAGGTGCCCAAGGTCATTCAGAGAGTAAGTAGCTAAGATTGGGTTAGAGCCCACTTTGTTGTTGTGTGATTCCTTGCTTGGATTACTATGCACAACAGAATATGGCCCACCTCCCCACAGTTGATCTCATTCGAGTGATAATGGGTGATCCTGAAATAGAAGGAATCTGGCAGAAGGATGGATATGGCTGGGTGTGGCGGGGTGATGGTTAACAGGAGAGGGAGCTGCTGGAACTCTGCATGTGCTTTGGCACAGGAATGTGTACTGGGAAGTGGCTGACTAAAGACCTATGGATTCCATGGAATGGAGAGGCCAGCTCAGAGCATTCTCATACTCTTAAAAGGAAGAAACTGGAAGCCACCTTCTAAGTGGACCCTGAATGATCCCTGCCACCTAGTATGTATACTCTTGCGTAGCCTCCACCTACTTAGACTCACAGCTGATTTTGTGACCAAGAGTATAATGGTGTATGACTTCAGAGGCTTGGTTCAGAGTCAGAACTGGCCATTTCATCATCTTCTAAATTTCTCTCTGGCAGATTAATAAATGTGAGAAAGTAAAAATGGTATAGAAGAAAGCCTGAGAGATGGCTGGCTTTGTACCTGTTTGGTCCTTTTCCTTCCTTTCCTCCATAAGCAAATACTGACGCATGTACATATAGACACACACAGTGGGATGTTAAAGGGAAACTAGAGCCACTCGCCCCTTCCCAAGATCAGAGAACCTAGGAAAGATGACTTTTTGCATCTACCCTCTGCTCTTGAACTCACAACACTGTCCTGAACCACAAATAAGGTCAAGTAGGATAAATCTACAACTGTCTCCTCGACTCTTTGCTCACAAGTGTGAAATTCAACCATCTTTGCTGAAGTTGTCTCTTAACCAACCTCTGAGCTTTACTTCTATTATTACATCATTTTATTTGACCCTCAGGACAAAACTGCAAGCCCAGCATTACATTCTTCCCTTTATGGACAAAACAAAACAAAACAAAACTGAGATAGGCATGAAGAAACTAATAAATGGCTGAAATGGCATTTGAATCCACACCTGTCTAACTCTAAAAGTGTGCTTTCTACCACATCACTGTGCCTGCAAGGAAAATACAGCCTCTACCCTCTCTTGAAGAATGTGTAAAGAGGCAATATGGTGTGTTTTGGAAAAAGCATCTTTGCAGACAGAAAGCATTAGCTTCAGCCACATCATCATCCTTATCCAGCAGCAGTAACATTATTTTACACATATTGGCTCAGTTACTCCTCCCAAACAACTCGATGTGTTAGATGCTATAATCATCCTCACTATCAAATGTGGAGACCGAGGCACATCTCTAAGACTAGAGTTCGGCCAGGCGCGGTGGCTCAAGCCTGTAATCCCAGCACTTTGGGAGGCCCAGACGGGCGGATCACGAGGTCAGGAGATCGAGACCATCCTGGCTAACACGGTGAAACCCCGTCTCTACTAAAAAATACAAAAAAAAAAAAAAAAAAACAACCTAGCCGGGCGAGGTGGCGGGCGCCTGTAGTCCCAGCTACTCCGGAGTAGTCCCAGCTACTCGGGAGGCTGAGGCAGGAGAATGGCGTAAACCCGGGAGGCGGAGCTTGCAGTGAGCTGAGATCAGGCCACTGCACTCCAGCCTGGGTGACAGAGCGAGACTCCGTCTCAAAAAAAAAAAAAAAAAAAAAAAAAAAAAAGACTAGAGTTCAGGCATTCTGGCTCCAGTCTTAGAGATGGTAGAGATGATTAAGGGCTCACACTCTTACCCACTTATTACACCATAGAGCTCACCAGGTCTGAGGGAAACAGGATCAAATCAAAAGACAGTAACTCAGGACTCCGGGCCTGACTCAAGGACGAACTGTTCCATCTCGGACAGGGAGGGCTTCCTCATTCTGAGACCCAGAATAACAGGTCCTGACCGGCATCTGGCACTCGGACTCCCCATCATATTGGACCACACTGGCTCGGGATGTGTAAAGTCCTGGGCTTCTCACACGTGATGGCACCAAAGCCGCCTAAAAACGAGAAAGAATTAACACCTACCTGCGGCGGTCTGGTATTTGACCCAGAGATGCCGCCCCATAAAACTTTACATCTTTATAACGTTTTTATTTTGCGTTCTCCTTCATAACCCACATTTAATTCGCCATATATGTAACGTTTAAAAATAGTTACCAGATAAACTTACCCTTCCAAACTTTTAAGGCTCCTTCCAAACCTTCTGGTAAAACTGCTGTTCCACGGAAATGGGAACTTAACGGATGAGGGAATCTTCCACAGCGGCACACAATTGTGTATCCACCGCTAAACGGTACCAGTCACACAGTCAGCGACCCACGCGGAGTCGAAGTGACCACCACACACCGTCACAACAATCACGCACACACAGTGACAGCCCCTTGCCCACTCGGTCACTCGCGCACAATCTCTCGCTAGAGAATCACACGCAGATAGCACAGCACCAAGAACCCCCAGGAAGGGACCCAGGGACTCGAACACATAACTCTCTCCCGCGCGCAGGGGAAGCACGCCTGCGCCCGGCTCACCTCGAAACATCGCGAGATCCGGCTTCAAGGCCGGGCTGCGGCCTTCACGCCTAGAGACTATGTTTCCCAGAAGTCACTGCGGCGCCGGCCCTATCATGGCGCAGCATCGGTGTGCTTTGTGCGTCTGCGCCATCTTCCGGCTGCGCAGGGCGAATCCGCCGGTACCGTGGTGGAAGCGCGCCCTGGGCTGCTGGGGGCGCGGCCGCGGTAGCACTTGGACCCGAGGAGGCGGCAGGTGAGGGGCTCCGGAGCTTTCCAGGTGCTCTGGGGTCCAACAGGAGCTGGGGCCGCGGCCAGGCGGGTCTCAGGCCTGAGAAGAACCGAGACTTCTCGCCCCATCGTCGCTCTGTGGCTTTACCGGCGTGAGACTACATTTCCCGCCGGCCCTCGCGGCGCGCGCCGGCTGGCGCCCCCTTTCTGCGTCCAGCCTCATAGGCCAGGTGCATGGACCCCTTAGGTGGGTGCGCAGGGGTCTCCGACCCCCTGAAATTGCAGATGTTTTGCATTCACTGTTATGCGTGCTTTTTTTTTTTTTAAATCTGAGAGGAAATCTTGTTTCATGAGGTTCTCAGAGAGTTGCAAGACCCCAGAAGACTTAGAACCGCTAGTTTAGAAAAACTTATACTTGGGAACATTTTATATGACCTTGTTCAAATTCTGTGTCCAGCAATGGAGAAACACTTGAGTGAATCACAGGCCATCCTGTGTAAATAGGATATGGTGCAGTTAATACAAATAATGCTTATAAAAGTGGTCATAATAAAGAAAAGCTGCCTATTACATCATATTAAGCAACATTCATAATTATTTCACTTACAAGTTACTTAGAACCAAATGTTTGTAATGCAATAGGCACTTTATATACTTACTCCTTTACAAAATACTTCTTGTTTAACAATGAGCTCAAGAACTGGTTAAATGACAACACTGCAAATACTTGGGTGTTTTTCCTTCCAGTTTTTTTGTTTTGTTTTGTTTTTAGCCTGTGTGTTAGTGAGTTTGACTTCTTCTTGCTGAATGTTCTCAGAGGATCCAGTAGTTAATATCTTTGCTTGTCAGTTTTTGATAGTCATTTTAGATAGTCACTTGGCATTGCATTTATGGCTGTGCCAAAAATGATTCAACCACTTGCCTACTTGTGGACTTGCCTACTTATGTACTAATTTTCAGTTCTATTATTTAGCAAATATTATTGGGCCTGCAGCTTTGTGCACTGCTGTGTCTCTATGGAAGGACACATTTATGTGCTGATAATGGAGCACTGGGCGTACTGCGTGTGATTTGTCTCTCACTGTTCCTTGCAAGTCTGTCCCATTTGTTGACGCAAGGCATGCTCCATGAAGTGGCAGTTTGGGCTGTAAACGTTTTTGTAAATTCGGCAGTTGGGAAAAGAGCCAGGTAGACTTTCGAAGGTGTTACATTTGCTGCAGGAAAGAGTTAAATGGCCTAGTCCTGGAAAGGCTTTATTCTAGGCTGGGGCTATGCAAATTATGCAGACCTTCTATGCTTCCTGGCTTGAGGGAAGCCTTCCTTGTCCTTGAGGTAATATGTGGGTCTCAGTCACTAGAACAGCCCACAGCATCCCCGTCTCAGTCTTGCATCTGCAACAAAACAGAACCACTGGATGTTTAGGGGAAATGGGAGGGAACGGACCACTGGTTTCCCTTTGCCTTGCAGCAGCTAAAGCTGGTTTCCTGGGGTTGGGTGAGGATCCCTTTGTCCCCTCCCCCCCCCCATTTTCTTGGTGGGCAGAGGGGCAAGCAGGTGGGAACTTGTAACTTTGGCATTCTAGGAGCTGTGAGGCAAGCCTAGCCTCTCATATTTGCTCTTTCCTCCCCCAGCTCTGCCATCGCAGGACTCTGCCCTTCCCCAAGAGAGGAACCAGGAGGAGGACCTATCAGCCCTTGAAATTCTAAAAGTCATGTCCCTTGTGAGTTTTAACATCCCACAAATATTTGCTTTCCTTATCTTGAAACTTTCCACCTGGGTTCCATCCAGGAATTTGGTTCTCAGACTTTCCCATTTTAGGGAATAAAAGTACTAGGCAGGAGTCCCCTCTCCCATTGTCCTCTCCTCTGACAAATGCCCACAGATTTATTCTCTATAGCATTCTGCATCTCCTGATGGTTTTCGTCTGCTAGGAGGAGAAACTCATTTCCCTGTATGAAAGAGAGCATCCTTTGTAAGAACTGAAGTGTGAAGAGATGGAAATGAATGGTTAGGAGCAATCGCATATAGAAAAGCAGGGGAGGTGGTGTTGGTTGGTTTCAATTTCATCACGTGGTACAGTGTCCTGCTTTGGGGGTGATTAATGATTGGATATGTAATTGAGGTTTGGCTGGGAATCCATCAAGATTCGATGCCAGAATTAAAGTCTAGTTTGACGTTGAACAGAGCATTTGAATCTGGGACATCCTCCATTAGTTTTTTTTTTTTTTTGTTTTTGTTTTTTTTTTTGAGACGGAGTCTCTTGGCCAGGGAGTCAGGCAGACTCCTCACTGCAGCTCTGCTCCGGTTAGCATTCTCTGCCAGCCCTGATAGCTGGATACAGCGCCACTCGCCGGCTAGTTTTTTTTTTTTTTTTTAGAGATGTTTACGTTCACAGGAGGTCTCATCTCCGCTCGGATCCGCCGTCTCGCCTCCCAAATCTGGATACGGCTACCCCGCCCGCCTATTCTTTAGCTTAAGAGCAAGAAAAGTACAGAGCTGAAGATGGTGAGTGATACAGAAAGTGAGATGATCAGTCAGCTAGGTGAGTGAGTGGTCAGGGCTTGGAAAAACCTTAGAGATCTGATCCAACCTCGGGATCCAAAATAAGAGGATGTTTGGGTCATTCATTTCACTTGATAGAAAACTGTACACTCAATAAAAGTGATCTCCATGGTTTTTCCCATGAAGAAAAATGCTTGTGTTATGTTCCAACATAATGATGAACTTTCATCTCCAAGAAATTCTTGACTTATATGAAAATCCTGTATCTAAGATAGACAACATGTTTCCATAATTAAAAAAAAAAATAAAATATTTGGGGAAAATCCATCAGAAATATTTTTATTGTTATTGTTATTCCAAAAGATAGAAATGATAGGTCTCACTTTGAGAATTTATTGTATGCCAAGTACAGAGTGGGCAGTGTGCTTTATTACACTGTTTCTTACAATAAGGAAAACTCTATTTAGCTTGATTTTAATTTTCATCCCAGACCTGTACACAGAGCTTTGATTTGCAGTTAAAAGGAGTGTTTGAGAACATCTGAACATTCTGTTTTACTCATACCCATTTCTTCTGTCACTTTTCACATTCAGTCCCACCTTTCTTGTTCAACAAAACAACCCCCCTCCTGCAAAGACCTGCCCCACCTCCTTTCATCCCACTGTGAACCATTGGAATACATATATATCATACATGCCTGCCATTCCAGGGGTCAGAATTGTTCAGGGATGTGGCCATAGTCTTCTCCCAAGAAGAATGGCAGTGTCTGGCACCTGCTCAGAGGGATTTGTACAGAGACGTGATGTTGGAGACCTACAACAACCTGGTCTCACTGGGTAAGGTGATCTCATCTGTTTAGTTTGGAGGTTATCCTTGGGCATGTTCCTTCCTGGTCAGTTTTTGGGTGCTTTTCAGTCTTATGACTGGTCATTTTTGAGGGGTTAAAGGGCAGCGCTGTCAGCTGAAGCTGCATCTTCCCCTGCCCTCAGGCAGTTGTCCCATCTTCCTCTGGCACTTCCTGCAACTGCCTCTCCTGCTTGATGACCAGGTCCTGGATCTGAATTCTGGGGCCCTCACACCATAACCAGGTGGCATGTTTCTTCTCATCTCCAGGTCTTGCCATTTCCAAACCTGATGTGATCTCCTTCCTAGAGCAAGGCAAAGAGCCCTGGATGGTGGAGAGGGTGGTGTCTGGAGGCCTGTGCCCAGGTGAGTGAGGTATCAATGGGAAGGGAGTAGCCACTGCAGGTATCAGGTCAGCTGGAAGTAGCCCTTTGTCTTAGAAAATCTTCCCTGCAGATTGCTACATTCAAAGCTTATGTCTTAAGTGTTGTCATCCTCTCCTCCCAACCTCCATTCTCTGAAAGGCCCCAGTGTGTGTTGTCCCACTCCATGTGTTCATGTGTTCTCATCATTTAGCTGCTACTTAGAAGTGAAAACATGCAGTTTTTGGTTTTCTGCTCCTGTGTTAGTTTGCTTAGGATAATGGCTTCCAGCTCCATCCATGTCCCTGCATAGGACATGATCTTGTCCTTTGACCATTTTTCTAAAGGAATGTGTATCGGTTTGTTTGAATTTTGGAGAGTCAGTTAACAAGTACTTATAAGCTTTTCTTATGCACCATGGAATATGCCACAGTATACATTGATAAGGCAGGCAGACATTATCCTTGCTTTCAAGGAACTTACACTGCAGTGGGAAAATAGACATGAAATCATACAGACACATGGACATGAGCTAATATATGAAAGAAAAAGAACAGGTTGAGTCAGGGTGCATGGTAGGGCCAATGGCCTCTTCAAGGATGAGGCGTTTCAGTTGAGACACGGAAGGTGTGATGTAGCTGGGGAATACCAGTTGCAGCCAGTGAGTGTGAAGGACCTGAGCAGGGAGCCCTTGGTACCTCTGAGATAATGGACGGCCTCTGTGGCTGAGTTCAGTGAACAAAGGAAGGAACACAAAGAAATACCCTAGGGGCCAGGCATGGTGGCTCATGCTTATAATCCCAGCACTTTGGGAGGCTGAGGCGGGCAAATCACTTGACTAGCCTGGCCAACGTGGTGAAACCTCGTCCCTACTAAAATCACAAAAATTAGCCAGGTGTGGTGGCACATGCCTGTAATCCCAGCTACTTGGGAGGCTGAAGCATTGCTTGAACACGGGGAGTGGAGATTGCAGTGAGCCAAGATCGAATCACTGCACTCCAGCTGAGGCAACAGAGAGAGACTCTGTCTCCAAAAGAAAAAAAAAAAGATAAGCTAGGAAAGGCAACCACATTAAG